GTTGCCGCGCGTTGTCGGCAGGCACCACATCGACAAGAAAACAGGGATACGTCAGGATGACAACGCGGCAACCGCCGGCAAATCACAACGCAGGCAACATCAACAGCAGCACCAGAAGCGCTGCAGGCCGCGGAGTGACGTGGACCCACTGACGCAAGGTGTACGTGGAAGAGAGCAATTGGTGGCTTGCCAAAGACACAAGGGGCTGACACACTAATAACAAGAGAGAAACCGTATAAGAATGCAAAAAAAAAAAAAATCAGGCGTCCACAAAGCAACCCACCAATCAATAAAAGTGCAATCGGTGCGCGCACCCACAACACAAGCAGAGACTCAAAGAAGGAAAACAGAAAACAAAAGTAAAAGCCGAAGCGTGGAACGACCAGCGCACACACTCTCATGGCTCCCGTAAAGCAACACACACACACAGGGAGAGAGAGAGAGAGAGAGGTCGCCCACTCAATGCAATAAAAACAAAACAGAAACAGTTACGGTGCTCCGCCCATGCAGTCAGGCAGGACGGCAGCGGTGCGTGTCGTGCAAAAGAGAGCACCAACGGGCCTGCATGGGTGCGCATGCATATATACAATGGGCACATTATGTGTGTGCTTCGTGGGGTGAGGTGAGGGCGAGAGTCCATGCAAGGGGACACACACACACAGAGAGAGAGAGAGAAGGGCGAGTGTGTGTGCGGGCGGTGCACGGCTCTCTCTCCCTCACTCTCACGCGGCCACCACCGCAGCAACAGCCGCACACGCAACAAAAAGAAGAAGCAAAAGAGGGGAGGTGGTGTGGGAGGCCGCGGTGCTGCTGTCACTGTCGCCAGGGGTAGCCGTTGTCGTTTTCATTGCTGTGGCCTCGACTGGTGTTTTCTTCGGATTGGCTTCTTTATTTTCATTTTGTTTTTCTTTTCTTTTCCCTGCACCCTCAGCTGCGGGGTCATTGACGTCAGTTGTTTGAGCGCTTTTAGGCTTTGTTTGATTCGATGCTCCCTCCGCACCAGATGGTAAACTTCGCTGCTCTTGACTGTCTGCTGAAATCCCCTTTTTGGCGTCGGTATCGTCTTCTTCTTTCTTTTCCTTCTCCCTTTCTTTCTCTTCTTCCTCTTCCTCTTCTCCCTCCTCCAATTCCTTTTCACTCTCCTCTTCTTTTTTCGTTTCCTCCTTGTTTCCCCTCGTTCCTTTTGCCGATTCTGTTGCTTCTCTTCCGGGTTGTGGTGCCGTCTCCATCCCCGCTCCCGCTCCCGTTACGCCTGGCACCGATGCTGCTGCTTGTTCCACTGTGCCCTCCTGCTCCTTCGACCCTCGGTCTGCTGCTTGTGGAGCTTTCGTTTTAGCGGTTGGGCCATCTGTTCCAGCGCTACCATCAGTATCTTTGTTTTTTTTAGGACTCTCGCTCTCTTCGGACGCAGTATCCAAACGATCCTGAGTTTTTTCAGCAAGTCCACCACCGCCGGCACCGCACCACAGCACGCAGAGGACACACACCAGCAGCACACGGCCAGCCATCATCGCCATCACTCCTGTCACTTGCGTGTAGCCTTCAGCACAAACTAACTCCCCGTCAACGCAGAACGGAAGCAAAAAGATAGACACAGCCGCTACACCACGCACAGCCACCGCACAGCAACAAATGGCAGCACCCCAGCAGCAGCAGCGCACACACCACGAGACAGATGGAATCAGTACGATTGCAGAGCTCGCAGACCGCCCCGCAAACCAGAAGTTTAAAAAACAATAAAAAAACAATAATTAAAAAAAGAAAAGAAAAACAAACCCAGGGCTCCAGTGCGCATGCTTATGAGTGTGTCCGCGATGCGTTCAACGTGACGGATGCGGGGCACAACGCGGAGCACACAGCACGGCAGCAGAAGCAAGTGAAGCAAAACACAATCATTATTTCCTCTTATTTTATACAGTGGACCACAACACACGCGCACAAATCCCCGCGGTTGAGTGCTGGCACGCACAGCCCGCACACACCTCTTCAGCCCAGAGCGGTGTACGCCAGCGCGGATGCGGCGAGCACCAGCGGGGCAAACACCCACGCAGAGCTGCTGAGGCTGCCGTCCATTTCGCGAAGACGTGACGGTGCGCGGGTGGTCGACACAGCCGGCGCCTCTGTAGTCGTAGTGCTTGGTGCCTCTGGCGCAGTGGTCGTGGTCGTCGTGGTTGGTGATTTTGTTGTCGTCGTGGTCGTCGTGGTTGGTGGTTTTGTTGTGGTCGTCGTCGTGGTTGTCTCGGTGGAATCATCGACATTCTTAATTGCTTGTTCTGTGGATGTTGTCGTGACACTTTTTTTCCCTGAGTTTTCTTCCGTACTTTCTTCTTGTACCTTATTGAGAGTATCACTTGATTTCGGTTCCGGATCGGTCGTACCACCTCCCGTTCCTGCAGTATTTCCACGTTCCGCGCCCGACACATTACCTTTCTGAGCAAGTGTCGAGGGTGATGCCGGAGTTGTGCTCTCCGTGGTCGTCGGGGAAGAAGCGGCAGCTTCAGGCTCATCCTCTGACGCGCACACGGACGGGCAGCAGCACAGGGCAAGCACCAACAGGGCGCACAGCAGACGGCTCGTCATCATCATCGTGAGTGTGGTCGTTCAGTGGTGTGGAGCTGATCTGCACAGTGAGGGACATGGAGAGCAACAGGGGAGACGAGAGGTGCGGCAGACACACACAGAGAGGACACACCACATGAGGAGAGGGCAGCAGCCAGGCATGCACCGTACGCCGCACACCACACACGACACACACTCCAATCCACGGCAGCAGGCACACACACACACAGCCCTGCCGCAACACCAACACACAGATGGAAGAGGGAGAAGCAAACAGGAGCGGCACACAAGGCTCCACCGCATGTGCATGCGGCGAGAGCGGTCCGTCGTGTCGGCACCCCTCACGGAGGGTGCGCACACACTCAAGAAGGTGCAGCGCACACAGCAACACAAAAGCAAAGTAACAATACAAAAAAGGAGATCCTCGCACACCACGTGGATTGTTGGTCCACGGGAAGTGCAGCCAATATTCACCACAAAGCAACTTGTTATGTTGCAGTAGGCCTTCGTCCACATTCATCGCAGACCATCTCATGCAGGCACGGCCACCACCGCAGCAGACGCACACTCAAAAATAAGCGCAGGGAATGGCATAAAGAAAGCAACCATTTATTTGTGTTTCTCTTTGGATGTTGGCAGATGTCCGCATGCGTTTTGTTTTTTCCAGAAGGCAAACCTTCATGCCTGGGTCGTGTGTTGGGATTACTGCAGGGTACACAATTTCTTTTTTTTCTTCTTGTGCATTTTTTTCTTGTGTTGGTGCAGCCAATAATTCGGTTTGTGTTGTTCCTGCTTTTCGCTGGTAAGGTGCTGCAATAGACGTTTTTATTTCTTCCTTCGTTGCTGTGGCACATGATTCCTCACCGTTTATTGCGGTGGTAATAAATAATATGTGAGTGGACTCCCACACACCAGAACGCACCTTCGCTCCTATTTATTGGTGCATGGAAGGGCATGACTGTTTGGTGGTGTCTCGTCCATATATTTTGTGGGTGCACATTCCCCTGCAGGCTGAGGGCGGGGTGACGCTCCGTCGCGGTGCACTTCCCTCGCATGCCGCCCACTGTGATTCATCATGCATCACCCCCTCACACATTCCGTGGTGCCACACCGTCAATATTATTGCAGCCGCTGTGACTCCGCGTATTTCACGCATTTGATTGTGCCACAATACATCCGCTCGTGTGGCCGCCGCATCCAAACAGCGGTGCTCAACACCGTGAGCGGCAGTCCACATCCTTGCATGTCCCAACGCAGTGGTGTTTGACTGTCAGCCAGGCGCCAGACAACAGGAGAGTCTTGTGCTGGCAGCACAGCACACACGGAGCTGCAGTGAATGGCTCGGGCGGTGACGCATCTATTTGTCGCAAAGCAGTGAAAAGGAGTCGGGCAAAATAATGCCGGCTGCATGCACGACACCACATCCACAGCCAAAGCATGCGACGTGATGTGTGTTTCACTGGTGCTGTGAAATGCCTGCAGACGACGTCACTAGTGGAGGCACACCACCCATGATCAGCGGACAGATAATAATCGGCATGGGAGGCCACAAAAGGCAGCAACGACGCCAGCAGCAGGAGCAGCTCTCTCTCACTCTCTCTGTTGCCTCCGAGAAGTAAATATTCCACCAGCCACAGCTGACTGTGCCATCGTGACACTCCATGCACGTCGTGGCTGCGTCAACACATCCTGTTCCCTGCTGCGCCTCAAAAGATGCCTCACTCCGTCCACTAAGTGCATCGGTGTGGGCCGTGCCTGGGCCGCTCGTGAGGACCACAACGATGTGAGGGTCACCGAGTCGCAGCATGTTTGTTGTGACGTTGTTGCATGGCACCTGCACACACACACGCAGCGCCTGCATCCCTCCCGTTTGCGTTCGCCCTCTGCCGGAGTGGCCACACACACGGGCAGCAGCAAAATCACTTCACCCTCGACGATCCAAAATCAGCACTGACATCCCTCGCGACGCAAAGATCTCAGTTGCCAGCACGGGCTTCCTGCCGCTCTGCCATCGACGCTGAAACACGGCACAGTGCACGCACTTATTTTCCTCGTGTGCAGTCAGCCGTTTGCTTCACGCATTCTTCGATGGACTGACGTTCATAAAAGCACGCCACAAAAGGCCACTGTGATCGCACAAGCCATTGCGATGAGCGTCGGTGTGTGCATGGATCCGCTGCTCACACGTGCTGGCAAGCAGCCTGCAGCCGGTGCCCTCGTGCCAGCTCATCGGCTCCAGCACGGAAAAGAGAAAATGGCCTATTCCCGATGCACTTATTCCCACCGGCAGTGCCAACACGCTGGTCGCCAGCCGTCATTCCTCAGCACATCCAGGAATGCTGAAAAGTGACGGGGAACTGTCAGCCAACAATGCCACAATCCCCGCACACATGTCGGCTCCACCAGAGAAGACACACAAACCACAAACAACACCCCTCACAAGTCTTCCAAACATCATTCCAACATACCGCGACACGCCAAACAGAAGTAGTCGTCACTCCATGCACCTCCACGCACGGCAGCGGCTTACACGCGGTCAAACAAATGTTCCTCGGATCAGTGGCCTCCACGTGCTGCGGTGGAAAGCAAAAAAGGAGACGGGCTGCCAAACCACAAAAGAATGCCACGACTGGCCGCAAGTCAAAGAAATGCAGCCACTCAAAAGAATTCAGTCCTAATGCCCTCAGCCTCCCACCTTCTCCCACAAAGGCCCCAAGAGCTGCAAAGCAAAAGTACCGTCCAATAAAGTCGCTGTGAAACAATAAAAAATGCCGCAGTGCCTCCTGCTGTCACCCGGGGCCGTTGATGACGTCTTCACGGGGACAGACACCCATCGGTGCTTACAAGCGAGGCTGCACACCTGCGACGCATCCTGCGCTCTGAGACGCACGACCCTCACCACAACCGGAGTTGCCGCGCGTTGTCGGCAGGCACCACATCGACAAGAAAACAGGGATACGTCAGGATGACAACGCGGCAACCGCCGGCAAATCACATCGCAGGCAACATCAACAGCAGCACCAGAAGCGCTGCAGGCCGCGGAGTGACGTGGACCCACTGACGCAAGGTGTACGTGGAAGTGAGCAATTGGTGGCTTGCCAAAGACACAAGGGGCTGACACACTAATAACAAGAGAGAAACCGTATAAGAATGCAAAAAAAAAAAAAATCAGGCGTCCACAAAGCAACCCACCAATCAATAAAAGTGCAATCGGTGCACGCACCCACAACACAAGCAGAGACTCAAAGAAGAAAAACAAAAAACAAAACAAAAAGACAAAGCGTGGGACGACCAGCGCACACACTTTCCCATTTCTCCCGTAAAGCAAAACACACACACACAGGGAGAGAGAGAGAGAGAGAGGTCGCCCACTCAATGCAATAAAAACAAAGCAGAAACAGTTACGGTGCTCCGCCCATGCAGCCACGCAGGACGGCAGCGGTGCGTGTCGTGCAAAAGAGAGCACCAACGGGCCTGCATGGGTGTGCATGCATATATACAATGGGCACATTATGTGTGTGCCTCGTGGGATGAGGTGAGGGCGAGAGTCCATGCAAGGGGACACGCAGAGAGTGAGTGAAAGACGGGTGTGTGTGCGGGCGGTGCACGGCTCGCTCTCCCTCACTCTCACGCGGCCACCACCGCAGCAGCAGCCGCACACGCAACAAGAAGAAGAAGCAAAAGAGGGGAGGTGGTGTGCAAGAGCGCGGTGCTGCTGTCACTGCCGCCAGGTGTCACCGTGTCATTTGTTTTGGCTGTGGCGATTGCTTTTGTTGTTGGGATTCCTGCCTTTTCAGCGGCCGCGTTCTCTGTGATTTCTGATGCGTCTTCAGGATCGGGAGTCGTACTGAGCTCTTCGGTTCTTTCACTGGAGGGTTGGCTCAAGTCGTTCTTGGCCGGATTACTTTCTGTGTCATCGTCAGACTGCAGGGCCGTAGCTGCTGTGGGGCTGCCTTTACTGTCGCCATCTATTGCCGTCTCACTCGTGCTGGCGGCTGTCGTGACTGGCGGCTGTACTTTCCCCTCACTGATTGTCGGAACAACATCTTTTTCGAGTCCTTTCTTGTCGTCCTTCTTTTCTCCAGCAGCTGACCCTTCAGTATTCTTCGCGCCATCTTCATTCGTACGACTGTTCTCAACACGATGTCCACCTGTAGAAGAGGATTGTGGAGTTGTCTCCGGTGGATCGTTGGCTGATTCACCCTGCGACAAATTCACCAAAACTCGTTGTTTATTTTGATCCCCTGGCAAACTGTTAATTGGGCGTACCCCCGTTTCAACTCGTTGGGTTCCATCCAGTGACTTTGACCGCAATTCCTGCGGCTCAGGCAACCGCACGTCTGTCACTTTAATTGGATTGCCTCCAGACCCTTCTTTATCTTCTCTTTCATGTTCAGTGGAAACAACTTCTTTTTCCGTTACTCTCGGGGATTCTCGCACATGCGTGGGTGTTGATACCCTCTCAATTCCTGTTGTTTCTGTTTCTGAACTTGGGTTTCCTGATGCGGGTGGTTTATGTTCCGTTGATTCCGGCGGAACTCCCCTTCCACTCGCGGGATCACCGGGTTCACTCTGCAACAAACTCGGTGGATCTTCTTGTTTTTGTTGAACTTTTTCTTCTGGTGGAGTGTCGTTGGAGGGTATCGTTTTTTCACCTCCTTTTGCTCCATTCGGTGACGGCAGCCGTAAGATCTCATCCTCGGTTAAGTGCAATTCCGCCTCTGTCGCTGAATCGCCTTCAGACGCCCCTTCACCTCTTCCTTTTTGAACGGTTTTCACTTTTTCACCATCAACTCCAACTCCACGGCGATCCGCTTCATCTCGCTCAACAACGGCTTCATCCGTTTCTTCCAAAACATCGTCTGAACGTCGGGTCGGTGATTCTTCTTTAACTTCTGGCGCTTGTGGTTTCATGCCCGGTATGACTGGGGATGACAATTTCTGTTCCTCCAATTTTTTGTTGTCCCCACCAGAAACAACAACATCGCCATCGCCAGCATCATCGGCCGCAATTCCAGATACACCGCACCACAGCACGCAGAGGGCACACACCAGCAGCACACGGCCAGTCATCATCGCCACCACTCCTGTCACTTGCGTGCAGCCTTCAGCAAAACTAACTCCCCGTCAACAGAGAGGGAAGCAAAAAGAGAGACACAGCCGCTACACCACGCAGAGTAACAAATGGCAGCACCGCGGCAGCAGCAGCGCACACACCACGAGACAGATGGAATCAGTACGATTGCAGAGCTCGCACACCGCCCCGCAAAACACAATTTTAAAAAGCAATAAAAAACAATAATTAAAAAACAGAAATTAAAAAAGAGAAAAGAAAAACAAACCCAGGGCTCCAGTGCGCATGCTTATGAGTGTGTCCGCGATGCGTTCAACGTGACGGATGCGGGGCACAACGCGGAGCACACAGCACGGCAGCAGAAGCAAGTAAAGCAAAACACAATCATTATTTTCTCTTATTTTATACAGTGGACCACAACACACGCGCACAAATCCCGCGGTTGAGTGCTGGCACGCACAGTCCGCACACACCTCTTCAGCCCAGAGCGGTGTACGCCAGCGCGGATGCGGCGAGCACCAGCGGGGCACACACCCACGCAGAGCTGCTGAGGCTGCCGTCGATTTCGCGAAGACGTGACGGTGCGCGGGTGGTCGTCGTCGTAGTTGGCGCCTCTGTCGTCGTAGTGCTTGGTGCCTCTGGCGCAGTGGTGGTTGTGGTTGTTGGTGCCTTTGTCGTAGTCGTCGTTGTCGTAGTCTGAGGAGAATCATCGTCGTTCAAAACTGTTTGGTCTGCGGATGTATTAGTGCCATTTTGTCTTCCTGTCATACCGTCCTTGCCTTCTGCCTGTAAATTATTGGACACCTCATTTGATTGCGGTTCCCCAGCGGTCACACCTGGTCCCGGTCCGCCAACGTTTCCCTGATCCGGAACGGAACCCGTACCTGGCGACCCTGGCTGGCCAGCGGTCCCCTGTGATGGATCTGATGTTGAAGGCAGTGGAACGGCACCCACAGTATGTTTGGGTGTGGACTTCTCCTCGGAGAGTGGTGGCTGTGATGTAGTCGCCGTTGTCGTACTGGAAGAAACTTGAACATCAACTTCAGGCTGAGTGGCTGCCGCGCACACGGACGGGCACCAGCAGAGGGCAAGCACCAACAGGGCGCACAGCAGACGGCACGTCATCATCATCGTGAGTGTGGTCGTTCAGTGGTGTGGAGCTGATCTGCACAGTGAGGGACATGGAGAGCAACAGGGGAGACGAGAGGTGCGGCAGACACACACAGAGGGCACACCACATGAGGAGAGGGCAGCAGCCAGGCATGCACCGTACGCCGCACTCCACGCACGACACACACTCCAATCCACGGCAGCAGGCACACACACACACAGCCCTGCCGCAACACCAACACACAGATGGAAGAGGGAGAAGCAAACAGGAGAGGCACACAAGGCTCCACCGCATGTACATGCGGCGAGAGCGGTCCGTCGCGTCTGCACCCCTCACGGAGGGTGCGCACACACACAAGAGAAGGTGCAGCTCACACAGCAACACAAAAGCAAAGTAACAATACAAAAGGAGATCCCCGCACACCACGTGGATTGTTGGTCCACGGGAAGTGCAGCCAATATTCATCACAAAGCAGCTTGTTATCTTGTTTTGGTTGTATGCTGCTACAATAACGAGTGAGTAGCGCAAGGGCCGTCCGTACAAAAGTGGCAAGTATTCCGTCGCAAACGGACCGTCGTGCGGGCTGGGGCAGTCACAAACAGTCGCAGTCCCAGTTCCCAACGACGAGGGTATTCCCGCAGTGGATGAGGCGGAGTCTCCCGTGGTCCGTCGGGGATCAGCAGCCCGTGGCATCTGTGATGAGGCGGTGGCGGAAGAGCCTGGTCCATCTCGAGTACCCGCGTTTGTGCTTCCTGCGTGTCTTGCCTGCTGGCATGCTTGGCAACTTCGATGGCGACCTGTGCGCAAGGCACCTGTTAAGAAGACGGTGGCGCCATTGTGGCATCCGCATGGGAGGCCCTCGCAAACTATCGGAACGCCAGGCTGAGCACGTCGGGCATGTGCCCTCATACTGTGGACGGACAAGCGCACTCTGCTGCAGGTTGGGCAGGAGGACGTCAATCCACCGCTCGCTGGTCGACAAGGGGTTGCGGTGCTCACGTCGGGAAGAGGTTCCGGCGGAGGCAGAGGCGGGCCGGTCACCGCAGTCAGGGAGGGACGGCACCACCGACACAGAGGGTTCCTTGTGATCCGCAGGGCGCGTGCAGGCCTGTCGAGGAGTGGGCAGGAGTCGCATCGCGCCTGTGCGCTGTGCCGCCACTCGGGGACCGATTTCCGGGTCAACACCAGGAATAGAGTCCTCGCCACACCGACAGGCGCCTGTCACGCGGTGTGCGCGGCTTCCTTTTCCTCCTGCACATCCTTCCATTATAACCTCTTGAAGGCGGTGAGGAAGTCCACATGCCAGGCAGTGACGCAGTCCTGCGAGAGGAATCGTGCAATCGTGGCTTGTTTGTCAGCGGCCTCATTGCGTGGAATACCGCAGTGTGATGGGAAAATATAAAATCCACAGGGTGACCTCGCTCCACCAAGGAAAGCAGCATAATCCAAATTTACTCAGTAACGCGGTCTCGCACGGTCGGTGGGCAACGCGGGGTGCCTCAATTGCCGAGAGGAAGTCCGTTTCCTCCAGCATTCGTGTGGGCGATTGGGATGTTCCCAGACAAGGAGGTATGAGATGTCTAAAAACATTTTCGATCGCAGGGCAGTCTGCCCTATATGAGCATGCGAGGCTGCCAGCTGCTGCACAATGTACCTCCACAGGGAGATCATTTGTCGTGGTGGAGTCATATAATAGCGCAGCGGATCCAGATGCGAGTGCAGCGAGACATGAAGGGCCGTCCGTCCACAATTCAAAATCACAATCCCCCAAAGAGGAGTGAGTAGAATCAAAAGCCGTGCGCCTGACATCGTCAGAGGCGTCTTTGGCAAAGAGTGGCTGATAAAATCTCACTTTGTTGCAGATCGCAGTGTCCCAGGGAAAAATTCGATGTTGGGCAAGAGGCGCGCAAATGTGGTTGTGGGGTGTCCCAATAATGTCACAGACGCGTGGCAATCCATTAATAACAGCATCTCTCGGAAGCGGGATCGATGTCGCTGCTTTCCCATGCATGGACGGCGGCATAGGTTCCGAGTAGATAAGGGAACGCAAATCCTCGTGATCATGGAAGCGTATATAGCGTTCGTATTGTGTGAGTGCACGACGCCAAAGTATCTTCCGGAGCGGAAGAATATTGGCTTCCAAATAGACAGATGTGTCTTCCGTAGATGCGCTCAGGCAAAGAATGTTTTGCTACCGTCGCGGTACCGTACTTCCATATTATGGAGGTGAGTGGGGACGAGTCACGGGACAATTGCCTCGCCATTATGAAATAGCACACTATGAACTTATCCAATCAAAAAGGATCGCATGGTGTGATGGGACGTGCCCGCCTCTGCGACCAGTCGCAGCTGATAGCGGCGTGGCATGGCCCTCTTTGAAGCGGTGGAAGCATGCGTAACAAAATTAAGAAGTCGATCGAAAGTGTTGCCCAGTAAGCGCACTGGGCGTGACCGAATACGTAGGTTCCCGCTAACAAGATGGAGATCGACCATGTCCTCGTCAGACCGTGTGTGTGTGAAGAGATGTAGAATAGAGCAGCTTCGCTCTTAGCGACGTTGATTTTTAGGCTGTGCTCGGCAGCCCATGTGGCCACAAGAGACAAGAGCGGTCGCATTGCCGCAGCACATGCATGGATGTCCGCACCTGAGGCAACAAGTGCGAGGTCGTCAGCGTACATGAAAGCGGAGGCGGAATAGATGTTGCCCAGGCGGCGCAGCAGACCATCCACACAGTAGAGGAAGAGTTGGGGTCCCGGGACGCCGCCTTGCGGTACTCCAGCTGAGGCGAGTTGTTTCCGGGAGTGCTGTTCGCGAGTGCATACCCTAACATAGCGGCCCCGCAGGTAGTTGTGCAGCCAGCGTTTGGTTCGAGGCCAAGGCACGGAAGTCTGTCAAGCATGCAGAATAACTTCCCATGGTCAGTGGTGTCGACCGCAGTCGGAAAATCAATCAAAACTACGAGCGATGGCGACGAGCGTGTCGTGTGGGGGCGTCGTCTCCAGGGCGCTCATACTCCACAATGCCAAACTCATTCAATCCACGAGTAATTTGTCGATAACAAGTGCCACCACGTCCGACGTAGAACGCGGAGGTGCAAATCCGAAATTGACGTGGGTGGTGCGGCAATAACGCTGACAGACGGCGGTGAATCACTCCTTCGGTTAACTTTAGTAAAACAGAGAGTGGCGTGATAGGTCTGTGACTCTCTGGGCGGCATGGATCCTTCCCAGGCTTGGGGATAGGAATAGCGTCTCCCATTTTCCAGGAGCCAGGCAGGCCGCCATTTGCGAAGGAGTTGTGGATCATCGTTCTAAGTGTGCCACGCGCGACGGGCCCGAGACGATGCAGGAATTCATTCAACATGTTGTCGGGGTCAGGGGCTGAGCCAAGCAAAGAGTCACGGATGGCCACGTCAAGTTCATACGGCGGGAAAGGCCGATCCATTTCCCAGCCACCAGGAACCAAAGGAGTGCAGCGAGCAGCAGCAGCAGCAGTATAAGGCGGTACGGCACGTGAAACCGCACAAAATGACGGACAAGCAGATTTGCCTGTTGCCGAGGCAGGGCGCATACGCGGCCAAGATCAGTGCGGAGCACAACCGATTCCAGAGGATGAGGGTGCGGCGCCGCCATGGCGCGAAGATATCGCCACCTCGGGCTGGGTGAGGCTCCACGTCTTTTCGCGCGGGCTTCCAGAAGCACAGCGGAGCAATGGCGTAAGGCTTGATTTCGTTCCTCCTTTTTTTCGGGTACATTCGGCTCAAAGTAGGCTGTCTCCGGGTGAGGCAATGTGTGTGCTTCGTGTGCTGCTTCGGCGGCGGACTCGGCTTGTTCCATTTCGTGCGTCCATATCTTTTTTGGAGCTGTCACGGCTGCCGCGCGGGATATGGCGCTCAGCTGCTCGTAAGATGCCTCCGCGAGGATCCAACCATGTGGGCGCGGTCGCAAGGAGGGTTTCACACAACGATGTAAAAGCAGGCCAACCCGCTTTACGCAGGGCAAAGGTGGCTTTCTTCCGTCAAGGCAGCGTGTTTGCTAGTCGTGGAGTGCCATCATCCATCTCTACCAAGTAAGATATTCAGCAGTGGTCCGAGTTTATGTAAGGGGCGAATGTCCAGTGGGAGATGCGTAGTACGCAATACGCAGTCACGTCAGGGGACGAGGCATTACGATGTGTGATCCGTGTTGCCTGTGTCGGGTCATTTGCCAGCCCAAAATCCATATCGATTAGAACAGCGGCGAAATTATCACCTCCAGTCGTTGATGGTACATGTGACTGTCCCAGAGTTCACGATGTAAATTCAGGTCACCCGCGGTAATCTCTTCGGGCCCAAGCGACAAACGATATTGATAAATGCGGATTATTGACCAATTGTTGTGGGAGGGTTGTAGAGATTCGCCACGCAAATGCTGGGACAGCCTGGCGGAAATACACGGGCAGCAATGGTCTCCAGGAGGTCAGTGCCAGCGAGCGACAGGCGTCCACACGGTGGAGAGTGGCGCACCAGAACGGCAACACCACCACCGCGCCCAGTGCGGGCCTGAAGGTAGTCATTATGGCCAGATAATTTCGTCGCAACGTCACCACGGTTACTTATTTCCTGCAGAAGAACGATGTCAGGTGGACGCTGCTCCAATCGCGCAGCAAATGCAATCTTTTTCACGGACGAGAGGCCTGCAATGTTAAGCTGCCTAATATTGATGTAGCCATCCTCCTCGGGCCATGGTTCTTGTGGACGTCACCGCCACGGGTGATATCAACGGAGTGACCGCTGCGAAACGGTCGTGCAGTTCTGTCCGACAGTCTGCAGGCAGACCGCCTCACCTCCCCACACCGGGCATGGCGTGGAACCTTCTCGAGGGGTGAAGTCACCTTGGTCTCCGTCGTGCTCGCAGCAACGCCCTGCTGCGGAGTTCCTATACGCAACCAAAGCCTCAACACCGCGACAAGGTGCAACATCATCGCTGGGGACCGTGGATACTCGCAACGGATGGCGGTGTCGACGTCCCCAAGTCAGCCGGGATTGGCATACTGCTCTCATCCCTGCATTCCTCGAAGATAATAGAAAATGTCAGTACCAACTGCGGTACACGCCCATGCAGCCGCACTACGGAGTCCCGTGCACTGCTCCCGGCCATGGAAAGGCTGAGTGTCCATCGTATTCAGCACAGGCAAAAACCCTGCTTGTGGTTACAGACAGTCATTCCCTTCTAGCCGCCGTCACCAAGGGCCCGCGCAGTCATACCGACTGGACGGAGGACCGGCTCTGGCAGCGTCTCTTGTCGCTGACGCGTGCCGGCTGGTCCGTGCAGCTGCAGTTTTGCTACGAACATTGCGGAGTACATGTTAACGAGCCTGCAGATCATGCGACGCAGACCACGGCAACCGGGCAATACAGAAAACATGGAATAGCACACATATGGCACACGGAACTGCTGCCATGCATTAACACCCAGCTCACCAACAAGTGGCGTAGTACCATGCATCAGAACACCCACCACTACCTGCTTGGCGGCGCCAGGCCATCATATCCAGACGGCAAGCACCTGATTACTCAGGAAGCCCTCGACCAACAGGAAAGGTTAAACACTGCATGAGCAGGGTGCGGGGAATCCGAGCTCTGGGGTCGCCTGTACTGGACTGTGAGAGACTGCACGAACCAACGCCGTTTCTGCAACATCTCACCGAAACACTCCGCTTTCATGCGCTCCAACAATGATCCCACTGCACCGGGACGGAAGCTGTTCCCCCGACGACAAGGGAGGCCGACGCACCGCCTGTGGAGAGACGGCCCTCCACACGGCGTCGGAAAAGGAAATGCCCGCACTGTGACGCCACACTGGTGGGACACACGAACCACATCGGTCACTATCGGTGCCTTCATCCGGAACGCCCTCCACCGCTTCCCGACCTCCACCGCGATTGCTGCGACACGGTCTTCCCCACACAAAAAAAGCACAGCACAGCACAGAAATCGCTGCGCACAAAACCCAGACGCTGATCGGCACCGCAGCAGCAGTGCCAGGAGACAATCACTGCTACCGCAGGATCAGCCAGCCTCCACAAGCGCAACAATTAGCCCGCAGAAAACACTGCACCATCTGCTTCCAGAATGTACAGACGCTCTGGCTGTGCGCCAACGGCTGGGCATAAAGAAGGACCTTTGCACCAAAAGGTTCTCCCAATGGCAGCTGCCTCATAGCAGGAAACTCATGTCGCTGCTCGACCACCTCCTCGGCACCCTGGTGACATCGTGTGGCTAGACATGTCGGTAAGAGCAGGGAAAAATAATAATAATGAGCATTCTCGCCACTATAGAGACGTGGTGCATCTTGCGATCCCGCTGGTGGCTCTCCTGTTCCACCGCTGTTTTTGCGCAACAATTCATCACAGTCATTTTTGTGGTTTGATCGGCTTCGTGTTGTGCTCCGGGTTCTCCTCCTTCATCGCCCTGCGGTGCTTCCTTCGCCGTCCCTGGCACCTGTGACTGTCCCGTGACGGTTTGTTCCGAAGCCTGACTGTCCTGGGAGGTCCTCCCGCCACCAGCATGCACTCCACCTGCTGCCTGCTGAGATGCGTCGGAGCATGGGGATGCTGTGCCTGCAGCGTGCCCTCCGCCCAAAGACTCCGGTCCACTTGCACGCATCCAAGCAGCAGACGCGCTGTCAGTGCCGGACGGATTGCAAGTGTTGCTTCGCAGTGGGTCGCTGCTGGATTGGTCCTGCCCCGTCGGAGCAGTGAGTGGTCCTCCCGAGGTGGGATTGTGGCCCTCACCCGCGGTGCTTCCTCCACCCTCCTCGTCTTCCTGATTGCTATTGTCCTCAGAGTTCACATTCCCCTTTCGTCCAGAGCCACCGGCCACGGGTCCACCTTCCGCAGCCATCACAGCTTCCGCGTGCCCAGCAGTCACCGCACCATCACCAGCGGGCCGCACACGCACCCCGTCGCAGCAGCCGTCACTCACACGCACGAGCAGCTGCGCATCACTGCAGGAGCCAACAGGACGCAGAGCACACGGCCAGTCATCATCACAAACAGTGGAGCCGCCTAACGCTGCGGAGCCAACTTGCGATAACATGTGAAAACAAAAGGAGACACAGCCGCTACACCACGCACAGCCACCGCACAGCAACAAATGGCAGCACCCCAGCAGCAGCAGCGCACACACCACGAGACAGATGGAATCAGTACGATTGCAGAGCTCGCACACCGCCCCGCAAACCACAAGTTTAAAAAGCAATAAAAAACAATAATTAAAAAACAGAAATTAAAAAGAAAAGAAAAACAAACCCAGGGCTCCAGTGCGCATGCTTATGAGTGTGTCCGCGATGCGTTCAACGTGACGGATGCGGGGCACAACGCGGAGCACACAGTACGACAGCAGAAGCAAGTGAAGCAAAACACAATCATTATTTTCTCCTATTTTATACAGTGGACCACAACACACGCGCACAAATCCCCGCGGTTGGGTGCTGGCACGCACAGCCCGCACACACCTCTTCAGCCCACAGCGGTGTACGCCAGCGCGGATGCGGCGAGCACCAGCGGGGCACACACCCACGCAGAGCTGCTGAGACTGCCGTCGATTTCGCGAAGACCTGACGGTGCGCGGGTGGTCGACACAGCTGGCGCCTCTGTCGTCGTAGTGCTTGGTGGCTGTGTCGTAGTCGTCGTTGTCGTAGTCGTCGTAGTCGTAGTTGGTGGTTTTGTTGTGGTCGTCGTCGTCGTAGTCGGCGGTTTTGTTGTGGTCGTCGTCGTGGTCGTCGTCGTGGTCGTCTGTGAAGAAGCGGCAGGTTTAGGCTGAGTGGCTGCCGCGCACACGGACGAGCAGCAGCACAGGGCAAGCACCAACAAGGCGCACAGCAGACGGCACGTCATCATCATCGTGAGTGTGGTCGTTCAGTGGTGTGGAGCTGATCTGCACAGTGAGGGGAATGGAGAGCAACAGGGGAGACGAGAGGTGCGGCAGACACACAGAGAGAGCACACCACATGAGGAGAGGGCAGCAGCCAGGCATGCACCGTACGCCGCACACCACGCACGACACACACTCCAATCCACGGCAGCAGGCACACACACACAGCCCTGCCGCAACACCAACACACAGATGGAAGAGGGAGAAGCAAACAGGAGCGGCACACAAGGCTCTACCGCATGTACATACGGCGAGAGCGGTCCGTCGTGTCTGCACCCCTCACGGAGGGTGCGCACACACACACAAGAAGGTGCAGCGCACACAGCAACACAAAAGCAAAGTAACAATACAAAAAGGAGATCCCCGCACACCACGCGGATTGTTGGTCCACGGGAAGTGCAGCCAATATTCATCACAAAGCAGCTTGTTATCTTGTTTTGGTTGTATGCTGCTACAATAACGAGTGAGTAGCGCAAGGGCCGTCCGTACAAAAGTGGCAAGTATTCCGTCGCAAACGGGCCGTCGTGCGGGCTGGGGCAGTCACAAACAGTCGCAGTCCATATTCCCAACGACGAAGGCATTCCCGCAGTGGATGAGGCAGAGTCTCCCGTGGTCCGTCGGGGGATCAGCAGCCCGTGGCGTCTGTGATGAGGCGGTGGCGGAAGAGCCTGGTCCATCTCGAGTACCCGCGTTTGTGCTTCCTGCGTGTCTTGCCTGCTAGCATGCTTGGCAACTTCGGTGGCGACCTGCGCGCAAGGCACCTGTTAAGAAGACGGTGGCGCCATTGTGGCATCCGCATGGGAGGCCCTCGCAAACTATTATAACGCCAGGCTGAGCACGTCCGGCATGTGCCCTCATACTGTGGACGGACAAGTGCACTCTGCCGCAGGTTGGGCAGGAGGACGTCAATCCGCCGCTCGCTGGCAGGCAAGGAGTTGCGGTGCTCATGTCGGGAAGAGGTTCCGGCGGAGGCAGAGGCGGGCCGGTCACCGCAGTCAGGGAGGGACGGCACCACCGACACAGAGGGTTCCTTGTGATCCGCAGGGCGCGTGCAGGCCTGTCGAAGAGTGGGCAGGAGTCGCATCGCGCCTGTGCGCTGTGCCGCCACTCGGGGACCGATGTCCGGGTCAACACCAGTAATAGAGTCCTCGCCACACCGACAGCCGCCTGTCACGCGGTGTGCGCGGCTTCCTTTTCCTCCTGGACACCATTCCAGTGCCGTCGCCTGACTGCGGTAAGGAAGTCCACGTGTCACGCATTCACGCAGTCCTGCGAGAGGGATCGTGCCATGACGGCATCGGCGTCCGCTGTCACGTTGCGTGGGATTCCGCAGTGTGATGGGGAAAATGTGGAGTCAGCTGTGTGACCTCAATCCGCCAGTGAAAGCGGCACGGTACAAATCTCCTCGCTGACGTCGTCGTGCACCGCCAGCGGGCCAAGGCGGAGTGACTCCATCGCCGAGAGGGAGTCTGTGGCGACAGTAACTCGTGTGGGCGATTGGGATGCTGCTGCCAGGCGGGGAACTGGGAAGTGTCCGAGGCCATGCTCATTGGCAGGACACTCCGCTCGGCAGGTGCATGCAAGGCTGCCAGCAGCTGTGCGGTGAGGCCCCACAGGCAGCCCGGCTGTCCGGGGTGTAAAGTGACAGTGCAGCGGATCCAGATGCATGCTCAGCGAGAGACAACAAGCCGTCCGTCCAGCGGCCTGCGTCATACAGTCCCAGAGAGGTGCAGGCCGCTTCAAGGGCCGATCGTCTGACACCGTCCAGAGCGTCCTTGGCGTGCCGTGGCTAAAAGACGCCCACCCCGCTGCAGCTCACAGTGTCCCGGGCCAAAACTCGGTGCTCAACAAGAGGGGCGCGGATGTGGTCCGGGGAGATCCTCATGTGGCTGCGGACGCGTCGCAGTTCCTTGAGAACGGCATCTCCCGGCAGCAGAATGGTCGTCGGTGCCTTCCCAAGTATTGACGAAGGTGTGGTTTCCGAGCATACTGCGCCACGCACGTACTCAATATAACGGAGAAGTGTGAGGCGTTCGTGCCGTGTGGGTGCGCGGAACCCAACGATCCTCCGCAGCGGTGCTGGACTGGCGGCCAGGTGGACAGAGTTACCCTTCGATGAAGCGCGTGGGACGAGCGATGCCGTGCGGCTGTCGCCGTGCCGCACTTCCAGGCTGTGGAGGCGAGTGGGGGCCGACACGGTGCGACTGCCTCGCTGCCGTGGTGCAACGCACCGTGGACGCACCCAACCAGAAAGGATCGCATGGTGTGCTGGGACGCACCAGCCTCTGCGCCCAGCCGCAGCTGACGGCGGCGTGGCACGGTCTGCCCTGCAGCGGCGGTGACGTGCAAAACAAAATTGAGGTGTCGATCAATCGCATTGCCGAGCAGACGCACAGGGTGGGATTGACGCGTGGCTTCCCACCGCCCAGACGATGGTCGGCCGTGTCCTCGTCAGACTGTCGGTGTGACGCGATGCAGAACAGAGCGGCACCGCTGCTGTCGGCGCTGATACTCAGGCAGTGCTCGGCAGCCCATGTGGCTACAACGGAACCGGCAGCTGGCATTGCCGCACCACAGGCACGGAGGTCCGCACACAACGCAACAAGCGCGCGGTCGTCAGCGTGCATGAACGCCGACGCAAAGTGAATGCTGTACAGGCGGCGCAGCAGACCATCCACGTGGCGGTGAAGGAGCTGGGGCCGCACGACGCTGCATTGGGCTGCCACGGCTGAGGGAAGCTGCTGTCGGGAATATTGCTCGCGAGCACTCACCCCAACGCAGCCGTCTCGCAGGTGATTGCGCTACCAGCGTTGGGCGCGACGGCCCAGGCGCGGGAGCCCGCAGAGCACGGCCAACACTCGCCCATCGTCAACGGTGTCGAACGCAGTCGAGATGCCGAGCGGGACGGCGAGAGAGCGGCGACGGCGACGGTGCAGCGCAGGATGACGCCCCTGCGACGCTCGCACTTCACAGCGATGCACCCGCTCAGCCCTCGTGCCGCTTCGTCACTCACAGGCGTCACCAACTCCGAGGCCGTGCGTCGTGGCGTGGATCCAGGCTGACGTCGGTGGTGTGCCAGCAGTGCTGACAGGCGGCAGTGGACCAGTCCTTCGCTCACCCCTAGCAGGACACTGAGCAGCGTGAGTGGCCGATGACTCTCTCGGTGCGGCGTGTGTTCCCTCCGTGTCTGCGGATGGGAGTGGTGTCCCCATTTCCCAGCAACTTCGCAGGCTGCCGTCGGCGAGGGAGGTGTTGATCATCGTTCAGCGCGAGCAGCGGGCAGCAGGTAAAAGACGGCGCAGAAACGCACTCAATACGCCGCCGGGGCCAGGGGCAATGCCAGGCAAACAGTCGCGGATGGCTGGGTCAGGCGCACACGGCGTGAAGGGCCAATCCATATTCCAGTCACCAGGGGGCACGCGAGCACAAACTGTGCAGGCAGCTGTGGGGATCGCAGCACGTGAGACGCGGACAGTGTGACGGACGAGCGGGTTGCCTGCTGCAGAGGCAGAGCACAGACGCAGTCCCAAGAGTACCGCAGCTCAGCCGATCCCAGAGAGCGGGAACGTGGTGCCGCCATGCCTCGGGGTATCACAGGCCTGGGCTCGAGAGGGCACCAAGCTGCTTTGCACGGACCTCCAGCAGCATGGAGAAACCACCGCGGAGGGCATGATTGCGGTCCTCCCGTTTGCGGACAACTTCAGCTCGGGGCAGGCTGCCTCCTGGTGAGGCAGTGTGCGCGTTGCATGCTGCCGCTGCAGTGGACTCGGCATGCTCCATTCCGTCCGTCCACATTCCTGTGGAGCTGTCACGGCTGCCGCACGGGATGTTGCGCCTTGCCGCTCGTATGGTGCCTCGGTGCATCTCCAACCATGTGATCATAGTGGCCAGAAGCGTTTCACACGCCGAGGTGGAATCATTCCAGTCAGCTGCACGCAGGGCAAAGGCAGCATGTTTCCGTCGTGGCAGCATGCCTGCCTGTCGCGGGATGCCGTCCTCCGTCCCCGCAGTGTGTGATGGCAGATGGTGATCCGAGTCCATGTAAACAAGTGGACGTCCAGTGGGAGACACGCAGTACGCGTTGCGCAGGCACGTCGGGAAACAAGACGCGGCGGCCGCTGATCCGTGTTGCCTGTGCCGGGTCGTCGGAGAGCTCAGAGTCCATGTCGCCTGGGGTGGCGGCGAGGTCCTCTCCTGCCGCCGTTGAAGGTGAGCAACCATCCCGCAGCTCATGGTGTAGGTTCAGGACGCCCGCAATGGGCGCTGCAGGACAAGGGCGACGAATGGTGCCCACAAAGTGAGCAGCGTGGGCAATTGCCGATGGAAGGCTGCAGAGGTTCACCACGTGCATGCTGGGGCAGGCCGGTGGGCACACGCGGAAGGCGGTGGTCTCCACGCAGTTGGTGCCAGCAGAGACAGGCGCTCGCACGGCAAGGTGTGGCGCACCAAGAGGGCCACGCCACCGGCACGCCCACTGCAGGCCTGGTGGAAGTCACTGCAGCCAACGAGCCTCGTCGCTGGGGCACTCTCCTGCCTGCACTCCGGGAGAAGAAACATGTCGGACCGGTGCTGCGCCAGTCGAGCAGCAAGGACAATCCTGAGGGGCGAAGGGCCTGAAGGTATGAGCTGCCAGATAACTACGAGGCCATCCTCATCGGGGCTGCGGCTCCTGCGGACACCACCGCAGCGGGTGATGCCGACGGAGTGACCGCAATGAAACGACTGTGCGGTTCTGTCAGTTGAGCTGCAGGCAAACTGCCTCGCCCCTCCACAACCGACAGTGCGCGGGACCCTCTCGAGGGGTGACGCCGTCGTGATCCCCATCACGCTCGCAGCAATGCCTTGCCGCAATCACTCCCACAGAGAGAAAAGGAAGGGTGCGTGGGTGTGTACCGAGAACACAGCGACTGTCACCGTCAGAAGAGGCCATCGTGGCACCGTCCGTCACCCGCCAGCACACACCAAGCAGCGCACGCACTTGGCAAAGCAAAAACAAAGAGGTGAGAAGAATGACCCCAAGAGCAGCCAACACCTTCACACATGGCGGGCATCGTGCAGCCGCGGCAGCCGGCATCCAGAGAAATGCAGAGAGTGTCCCACACACATCCATCCAATGGCGCCGTGATTCCCACCGCACAGGCACACACGCAGCGGCCTCGCCATCTCAGCACGGGACACACAAGCCAACTTACCGCCGTCCCCAAGGCATTCATGCAGTGCACTGTGCAAATAATTATGACTGTGTGTGTGTGTGTTCTGAAGAAGCAGGAAATTAAAAAAGCTCAAAAAGACGCACCAACACAGCAAGAGGCACAACTGGATGGCAGCGATACATGCGGTACGCCCCCGACATCAACAATCACGCACGGTGGCAGCATACAAACATCCACACAAAAAACAAAACAAAATCCTAAAATACACGGCGGCAGGGTGTGGCTGTGTGTGTGTGGCGCTGCGGGTGTCTGCCAGCCCTGGCCGCTAAAACAAAACAAGAGGGAAAGAAATGTGTGCTCCGCCCCACAGGCACTCGTCGCACGCCCACACGTCACGGCTCCCTCAGCGCGCCGTTCGTCGCGGCCCCTCCTCATGCATGCAGCAGACGAGGCGCACAGGGCCGTCGTCATGAGCGTGTCGGTGGGTGTGCGAGTGGAGCAGTTGGGCGGGAAACACACGGCACCCCTCACAGGAACAGTGCAGCAAGAAGCAATTAAAAAGAGGGAAGAGCAGAAAAAACGTCCATAGTGATTGCCCCCAAAAGCAAAAAAAAAGAAGGGATGGGGGGCGAGATAAAAAATTAAAACAGCAAACAGAAATATTTTTTGAAAGAAAAACAAAAACATTGAAAAATGAAAAAACGCACAAAAAAGCCTTATATTACGCACAGGAAAAAAAACAATTATAAAATGTAAATAAAGTAAAAAAGCAAAAAAAAAAAGTTTTTCAAAAGAATTAGTTCTTGGACGCAATTCTGTGCAGGGGAGGTCGCAATTGTTTCACGCTGCAGTCGGTCACCCCTCACTGAGACGCAAACCCCCACAGTCCCAACAGCAGAAGAAGCAGCGGCAGCACCCTCCTCTCACGCACAGTGCCGGCATCACCTGTTGTTTCTCCAACGGCATGAGAGTTCAAAGCCGCCGCCCTCTCCGCATTTTCCTGCGATGAATCCGGTGGCACTTGCTGTGTAGTGGCAGGTTCCCCCACCGCTGTCATTTGTTCTGCTTCACTTTCTTGTTGAGGCTGCTTCAATGCCGCTTGCACTACTGGAGCTTCAGAATTTTTACCTGGAGGAGATGCTTCTGCAATGGACGCCTCAGCAATGGACGCTTCTGCAGTGGACGCTTCTTCACTGGGTCCCTCTTCAGACGAGTACTCCTCAGCAGGCAAATCGGCAGGAGACGCCTTTGTAAGAGCTTCCGCTCCAGGGGACAACGCCGGAGCAGCCACAGACTCTTCTCTTTTCTCCTCTTGCTCCTCTCGCTTATCATCCTCCAACGCTCTCGGAATGACAAGACTGCTGCCGTTGGCGGCAATGGTGCACACCTCGCCGTAAATGGGGCACTTGATCTTCCCATCTTGCTCAAAACCATTCAACGTCACTGGGATGTCAGTGCCCTCAGGGCAAGGCTCAAAATCCTTGCTGCCACTGTACTTCACCTTCACTGTGCCCTCCTCACACAAGACCTGCGCGCACACTCCCTTGACGCTTTTATGGCCATTACCGTCCTTCTTCAGTAATTCCGCATCCAGGCACCACGAGCCGTCGCCAGTCAGCGACCCAGGGAGAGAAGTCACACCTTTGTCCGAGCACGTATTGTACGTTGTCCTAGACAATATTTCGTGAAAGCACAAAGAAACAACAGGGCAAACGTCCTTATCCGCAGGACTCCCCTTGTTTTCAACGATGGTTGCGGTGCACGTCCCGACGTGACGGCGGTCGGAAGTGCAGCGAAGTGTCTCCTTGTCGGAGTCATCGCAGAACATGCGAGGATAATTGCCGGCAAGATTCGTGGTCGCATTGCACTTGTTTTTCAGAAAGTCGCAGCCAGTGCGGCTGCCCCAGCTCATCGGCTCCGCCATGCTCCAATTCACGCGGTAGTACTCCATATCCGCGAACACCGC